GGTGGTCTTTTGATATGTCCTTTGATAGAATCAAATTAATAACTTAGTATCTCTAACGTTCGTTCTTGGTTGCTCTTTTGGTCTGTCTTTTGGTTGGTCCCCCGCCATCTTGGCAATCGTCCATTTTTTTTTCTCTCCTAGCCGATGACTTTTAGCCATAGCTTCGTCCATTTTGGAGACGTTGCAATTTATTCGATTTTTTTGCCTTCAATCTGGCAAGTCATTTTTTAAGAATGTTTTTCTTCTATTTTTCTCCTAACTAAAAATCTATCATCATTATTTTCTTGCGTTTACTTCACTTTGCCTACATATGAATAATATATTTATATGCAAGTAATCAATGTATCTAGCGATCATACAATCCACACGCACGCACCCACTAATAAATCCACACACGCACAAATACATAGGCGCACACGCACAAATAGTTACACACACACACACAATAAACACGTATATTTTTGTGTATATATGGATATACGTTTTTATCAATGTAACTATTGTCATTTTTTTGTTAAATTATTAGTCTATTGTCTATAAAAGTCTTCTGTAGAGTGAAATTTATATAATGCATTGTATATAGACGTGTGCCATAGAGTAAGGGTGAGGTATCTTGTCCCCCGAGTCCGTTGGTTTTGTGACGAGTTGGATTCCTGTAAGGTAATTTCAATAAGAGAATATATATATATATATATATATATATATATATATATATATATATATATATATATATATATATATAATTATTTATTTAAAATTTATTCATGATTCCAACTCGCGACATATGAGACCTCTTTTTGTCGCGAGTTGGAATCATATTTTTAAATAAATAATTATATTTATGCTCTACATTTTATCGAGCACTATTTTTTTTAAAAATAATAACTAAAATACTAAGGAACTTTGGATCTACCTAACCAGTTCATTCCTATTTTCTATATATTTTCACTCACACACACACACACACACACACATATATATATATATATATATATTCCCTCTTCCTTTAATGAGAATACCTTTGTGGAAATAAAAACACAAGTGAGGAATTGAGTTAAACAAATATATTAACAGAAACAGTAATACAAACACATACATACGAAAGTGCGACAGCAAGAATGTTCGGTCCGACTGTCAGAGCTGATTGCTGGAAACTTCAGCCTCCAAAAAACCAGCTCCCATTTATAGCTGGGAGAGTCCATGCGTGCGTGGGTAATTTTACCATAACAGATTCTAAGAAGCTTTTCCGTGCATATGAGAGGATTCTATTGAAAATAAGTAGACAAAATTAAATTATTCAATGACAAAAAAATGAAGACATGCTGCCAAAATATATGCAATTTAATGCACACACACACACACACACACACACACACACACATATATATATATATATATATATATATATATAATGAAATTGATTAAATTCGACCAAATAGGACTTCCGGTTAAACAAAATCCGAAATAATTTTTTTCAGCTAACCTTTTCTGCTGATTCCCTAAACAGCCATATCCGCCCTGTTTTGTACCCCAACGTAAACAAAGATATTTTTTTCATGAATCCGACATATATTAATGTGTTTTGCTTAAATGTGGCCAAATCGGTTAAGCACATCTGATCTAATGACGGTTCCCCATAAAGAATGCAGTGTCGAATTCTGCCGGAGGACGCATATTTTCTGACAAGATTTCTCGAATAACAGTAATTAAATAAAAACACCGTTTAATTAAATAGAACATCTACTTGAATATGGGTATCCATTTAAAATAACGTTTAAGTAAAAAAAAAATCATATATATATATATATATATATATATATATATATATATATATATATATATGTTTTGTGTGTGTGTATACGCGCGTTTTCATGCAGATATTGATACATACACGTGAGGGTTTCTGGGAAGTCTTTGCTTAACACACATTTAAAAATCTTACTAAATTAGCAGTTGCTAGGTAGATTGGTTCACTGTGCCGTGCTAGATAATTTTTTCTCGCCAGAATCCATATTGCCCGTTTATAAGTCTATAATCCACCCGTTCATTTTCTACCGCAGACACATAAAGTCTCGTTGCTCCTGCTATATATCTCGTAGTACTTGACAAAATCCAAAGTATAGTATGTCATGTTATCGTCCTGACTTGGCGTCTCTAATTCAGTCACTCCCCATAGGCCCTTACATAGTTTCGCTATGTCTTTCCTATAAATATTTTCATGGCAATTCTTCTGATGAGCTTTTATCCTTGGTACCTCGACCGCATGAATTTAGACTAGACTGGTAACTAGGTTTCATCGTTTTACTTTTGAAATTGCTAGATGTAACCGTAAGTTCTATGCTAACAGTTTCGGTAAATTTTCATTTTAACACCCGAGCGTCATTACTGCTGAAATAGTTTCTTTCAAAAATTAGTACGCGTTTCCGTAAAGCGATTTTTTTTTTTTTTTGGTACTTAATTTAAGAATAAAGGTAACTTTCAAATATATGTAAACATCGACAAATAAAAGAATAACAAAAGAAAAAAAAACCTAACCCTAGTTTGAAAGTTAACTTTATTCTTTAAAAAAAAAAGAATAACCAAAAAAAAAAAAACACCTAACCCTAATTTGAAAGTTAACTTTCTTCTTTAAAAAAAAAAAAAAGAATAACCAAAACAAAACACCTAACTCTAATTTGAAAGTTAACTACAAAGAATTACTGTGAAGGGAGTAAATAGACCCAAATTGTATACGTCCACCGACAGAATTCAGCACTTACTTATCAATAACCCGGTAATGGCCGACGAAAGACCAGGAAAAAGTCCGATTTTTTTCGGGTCGTTAACATCGAAAAAGGTAGGTTTCTTTAATATCTAATTGTTGATTTGTGTTCAGCATATACATTTGCACGGAAATGAGACTATTTGGGAAACATTTGAAGGGATATTAGCGCTCGGGTGTTAAAATGAAAATTTACCACAGTTTCTTCTATCGCACTCCTTATTTGCGGAACTCGCTTCCGGTTTCTTGCTTTCCAGTCAATAGAGATCTTCAAACAATTAAATGCAGTGACAATCGTTATCGTTGTTATCGTTATCTTGGCCTTTAATTCTTCTCTCTTCTAAATAGTCTTTTTTCTCATATTCTCTAATACTCAGTAACACTCAGTAAGTTTCTCTTCTTGCATTTCTCGCCTGTGGAGCACTTTTCCGGCCTCTTGCTTTCCTGTCATCTTCAACGGTTTAAATGCAATATCGACCGCCATTTTATGTCTCCCTAGATATCTTCTTTTACTTTCAGTAACCTCTTGCGTCTTAGTGGCCTTATTGTTTTATCTGGGGCTAACTGATTCGGAAAAAAAAAGAAATGGGTGGTTTTTAGAAATTCTTTATATTCGGGCCTAAATATCCCTTTATGTTTGATCTGCATGTTTACTTCTAGGAGTATTGGGGTTTACGGCCAGCTAAAAGACATGGATTTTTTTCAAATGTTTTCGCTTTATTTTAAAAGTTCATACCAGTGTACGTATAAATTCCAGAGTATTATTGATGAAGAAATTTCAAACATGGTTTTCCAGAAAGTTCCATAGTTAAGTATGGAAGACGGTAAGTCCATTTTCAATGTATTTAATAAATTACTTCCTTTTTTTTAAAAAAAACTGGATTAAATAAAAAGTTTGGACAAACATCTTACGAGGAACAATTAGTGAAACGAGGGCATTGTTTTATAAAAGACGACTTTTCGTTCATAAAATCTGTTCCTTTAATTCTTAGAAGTTTCGCCTTTTTGCAGATTATTTTCTAAGTTTATGCTTCAGATTTAAGATGTTATTATCTTGTTAATTAAATATCTTATTATTCGAAAATGCATTGAAATAGCACTAATTCTTGAATCTTCTATGGTAAAATGACATACCTTCTTTTCTGACAAGACTAATGCTGATACGATGCGGGGCATCTGCAAATAATAACGATAAAAAATAAAAACAAAAGCGATTAAAAGCTTTATGTGAGATGCTAATTTAAAGCATCTCGATGTATGTGGCATTCGTCGGTCTCGGAAAACCTTGGAGCTGCGCCCAAAGTGTTATAACTCAGCTGCTGATGGTGGCGTAGCATCTATTATGGCTGTACAGGCCCACAGGGGAGTGACAGTTTTCATTGCAATAAATGCATTTGAAGGCGCTCTTCCACGATGTGTCCTTGTTATTTTCATTCCGTCGAGCACGCTTCTTCCCGGTGGCAAGTGTTCGTTTCTCCCAGTCCTCGGTGTAAATCGCGTTACTAGCGAAAGCGATAGTTGGCAACGTCTTCCCATCTCTCGATGTTCATCGCCCTCATCACCATTTGCATACGACCTTGAGGAGAAGATGAGGTCGTTCCTTCTTGCTGGTGGCCAGTTCCCCGTAATGAAAGACATTCGGAATCCTGCCATCAAATGTAGCGAACGTCAAAATGTAAGTTTAAAGTTCAACGCCTGTGTTCAATGTAAACTGAGCGTTTGTTTGGGTTTCTCTCTCAACATCTCCCTACATTCTATAAATAAATATACTTCCATCATAACATATATATATATATATATATATATATTGTGGATTCCGGGATGAAATCCGGTACCAATAAATAACAAACGCCAAGAATGAATATATGGAAAATAATGTATTAACGTAATAATACAAACTGGTAATGCAGGTTAGTAGTTCCAAGAATACGGGTTAGTAGTAAAATATCTATACAGTCTTTGGTATTGAAGTATCGCTGTATGACTTCTTACTGAGTCTACGTGCTCACTCACGGGGACTATTGCTCGCTACGTTCGTTCTGTCTGTCTCTTACCTTCACCCTCTGTTGCTCTCGTCTCTCGGGTCTTCACGTAGCAGTAGTATATGTATACACTGTGTGAGTCTATTTGTTTAAAAAGGGGAGGACCCCTCAACAACATATATATATATATATATATATATATATATATATATATATATATATATATATATATATATGTGTGTGTGTGTGTGTGTGTG